TCTGTCTTCTCCAGAATCTGAATTTGATAATTATACTTTGCCTAAGGTATCTTCAAGTTCTTATTTAGTTTTGCTTAGATAAAATTCTTATCTTATCCTGTCCTAAATATTTTATTTCCGAAGTGAAGGTGCCAAACAAATGTGATTGTTTTGTTTTTGGTTGGGAGGGGATAGAATTAACTGATACTATCAATAACCCTGTGATGTCTAGCAGATAAATTGAGGAGTGACACAAGCTGGCAAAAGTACTAAAATTCACAGTTAAGACTAAAGAGTATCCTTTGCCTATATATTACATTATACATGTGATAGAAAATCAGCTAACTGGCCACAAAGTAACAGGTCAAGGCGTACTTACCCTCATTTTTATGTTTATTTTGGGTTTAGTGCTAGAAAAATTATTACCAAACTATACATGTTTATAATTCCACCCTGAAGAGCTATATTGTCTCTACTGTATAGGTGGTATATCAGTCAGCACTAAAATAAAGACACATTTTAGGCTTCACTGTGCACTGAAACCATCAGTAAAGTCTAAGGGGCAATTAGGGGTCACTTTACTCACACGGGTAATCCCTCTGATTCCACTGAACCTAACAAATAAATAAAATGAGTAGGATTGACTCTAGCACAAAATGCCAAGAATAATACATCCAAATGAAACTGCAGATAGAATGCATTTACCAAATTACAAACTGTAGTTACTAAAATTACATTATGTAATTACCAAACTTCAAATTATAATCTACAATTACCAAGCTTCTATAGAGAAGCAGAATGGAATTACCGAACTTAAGTTTGGCCAAGAGACCAAGATTAACGTTCCTTGTAATGAATACCACAGGGTCTTTGACCACAAGGCACAGGGATCTCTGTTTTACACCTGATGTAAAGACATTATTCTCAAGTAGGATGGTGCCCCTTCACCAGGTATCTATCAATACAGACCCACAGTGCCCCCTGTGGAATCTATTAACACCATTACTGCAGCAATCTGCATTCTCCTTTTTGGTCTTCTATCAAGCTACTTACGAGGCCCAATTCTACTATTTTATGGAATCTGAATAAATTACAGCCTAGCACTGAAGGCTGTACATACTTGGTTTTGAGAACTCGCAAGCATTAATTGAGGTTTTCTCTTTTGTAATAACTGACTTCTGGTAATTTAAAATAGATCCACCGATAGTCGACCAAGAGAATTCCTAGTTTTGTTACACACGCTCAGTTCATGACACACAAACAGCAATTTTTATATATCTGCTTAGTATCGATGTGTGTTTCTTATTACACTTAGGTATCAGCTTTTCCATATGTCCCTTCGGGTGGTCTGTAGTACTTTGGGAAAGCCATCAGCTGTATCATGTTGAATGCATACTTTCTGCATTTGATATTCTTCAGTACATTCTCTATGCGGCATCCTTCTCTGGTGAAAGGGGAAAAAGTACAACTTCATGAAACACAGAATAAATAAATATGTTTTATTTCTTCATTGCAGCATTTCAGCAACAGTTGAAGTAAAAATAACAAAAGATTCAACTCTACATTTTTGTTTTTCCACAAGTGATGATACATCTTACAAAATTAAATCCAAGGCCAGCCCCAAAACAGTTATTGCCCTCAGAAATACACAATGAGAATATTTTATATTTGACCTTAAGGTTTAAATAAAGTTTCATAAAAATTTTTAAATCATTTATTTAAGGATACATTTTTCACGCTAACTTTAGAAATATATTTGCCTTTTAAATTCTTTCACAATATTTCTCCAGACTTTTTACTGTACATGTTAAAGTCTACATGTAGCCCTAAGTACACAGGTTCTGGGAGTAAGGCATTTTATTAAGTCTGGTGCTGTAGATTTGTAAAGGAAATTTTCATCTCTAGTTTATTTCAATATGTTGAGCTTTGCAATGAAAAAAGAGAGAATGGCTCTCCGAATAGATTAACCCAATTCTCTCCTTTACAAAGAAAGGATGCTTGTTCACATACAGTACAAAAGTCACAAGTGCCAAAGTGGTGCTTCAAGACACAAACAAGACTTTGTTAAAAATAATATAAAAGTGTCTTGAAAGCAAAAGCAGCAAATGCAACCAAAGCAACAGTTACAAACAGGTTAATTTAATTACAAAACAGAATTCTATCTCCATATAGTTACTTGACAGAGAAGGGTTAGTTGAAGCAATGTAGTAACATAACCTGGTTGTTAAACAAAACAGAAGATTCCATCAGTGAATAAATAACAATGAAAGTAGCACAATGAAAATTAGTCCAACAAACTGTCCCATTCATTATCCTTGGTTCAGGGTTAGTTTGTATTGTGCAAAATCACTTTTGATCTTTATAATGAATAAATTGAATTAGAGGTTCAAGCTTTCAGGATCCTTAATATGTCCTTTATAGAACTAGTTACAGCGGGAAAGTGTTACGGTGACCCAAAAGAGGAAATTAACTCAATGCATAGTATACTACTTAGATTTCAGGAAGAAAAAAAAGAAAACACAATACAGTTCAGACATTTGTATGCTAAAGACAAATCCTGTGGGTCTGGAAAATGTAGAAATATTACAGCATAATTCTTTTATTTTTAAGTTAGTTTGTTGCTGTTTGTAGAAAAGAAAGGAACACAAGTGAGTTTATTGATATTTGGCTAATAGTAAAGCAAGACTTAAGATAAGCCACACAACCAGCAAGTGTGAGCTGACAAGCAGCAAGGCGACAGGATAGAAGTGACGAGAAGTTGGCTTGTTATCAGTTAGACAGCCTGTCTCGGGATCATCCGACTCATTCAGTGCTCCCTGGGTTTGTCTGCTGTTAAACAGGGGAAGTTAGGAACAAATAGAATAGCATTTAAATTGCAAAGAAAGCCAATATGTAGGTATTATGAGAACAAAAACACTAAATATGGCCAATAGATATAGTGGATTTATGCTAAATAATTCCAAATATTTTTACTCTGTTCTCCAACTGGATGCATAAAACTAGCTATTGTTTTTAAAAAGTGTTAAAAGCGTGTTTAAATGACATTCACAGGTTACAGGCACTTAAAAATGCAATGAACTTGGCTGTGACTAAGACAAACATGAAATTGATCTGTAGAGAAATAAATGAACGAGTTAGGAAAAGAAGACAAGAACACAATATGTCACAATGGAACCAGGCAAAGTGATGTCTCTGTGGTGCTCACAGTTTTTAGTCCACTCCAGCTTCACTGCCTGCTTCTTGTACATGGGATCTTTTTGAAACAATTCAGTTATTTTATGTTTTTGGCTCTTTAAAAATTATTGGAACAAATTTAACATTTTTTAACAAGTCAGCCTCACTGCTCACTCAGCCTTATCAGCTAAATCAACACAGATTTTTAATTCAAAGTGTAAGACTGATGTAAAAAAAAAAAAGACATTGTAACTTGTTCAGCCAAATCAAGTGTAGGTTAACCTGTACTACAGTGAAGTTCTTCTGAGTCTTTAAAAGTTGTGTTGTGCCTGTATTGGAGCAGTAAGCATACCTTCAAATGACTTTTAAACTTTTCAGATGTAAACATGGTAGTTATTCCAGATATTTTCCATCTAAGTGGAATTATGGACACTTTAGCTAAACCCTTCAGCCCATTAAAAGTTATATATGCATGTGCTCAAGACTCCTGGTAAGGGCTTTCCCTTGGGCAGTCATAACTGATATAGTTAGTGGAATTAGTGCTTTTGCTATTACCAGGAAGTGCAATTTTTCTGACAGGAGTTTCAAGTGAAATGGATGGATGGTCAAAAAAAGCCAGATGTGTCAGATTTCACTGGAACATTTGACACATCTGCCACTGCTTTGTTGTTTATCATTAAAAAAATACTGAAAAGAAAATACCATTATGACACTATACTGAATGTGATGAAAACAATGCAGCCATTGCACCATGCCTTAGAAAAGTACAGCAAGCAGGGCCACCAACAGGGAAGGAAATGGGGGCAGCTGTTCCAGGACCCAGTGATTTTAACAAGGACTGGGGCTCCTGGTTGTAGCTAGAGTCCTGGGCCCTTTAAATTGGCTGCCGGAGCCCTGGGCAGTGCTAAGAGCGGGCTAGGAGAGGCTAGTCCCCAGCCTGGGCCCTTCTAGTTGAGGCCCCACTACCTTCCAGGGGCCCAGAGCTGAGGCTCCTCTCTACCACCTTGCCCAGGGCCCTGGCAAGTTAGTTACCGGCCCGGGCAGCCTGCATTCCTTTTTGCAACTGACTTGTGCATTGGGATAGCATAGTCAAGTCCCTGTTTTCTTGCTGACTTACTAAAGCAAGCCAAGGCAGGTAAAGTAATACTATAGTACATACAAAAATTATTAGACTAATACACTGAAGGGGAGGCAAAGACTGAAATTATGGCTGAATACCACGAAAGAGGCTAGCCAAATTTTGTCACAAAATAATTATGCTTGATAAATCCAAAGAAACAATTAAATCTTCCAGTTCCCCTTCACATAAATACAGGCAGTCCCCGGGTTACATACAAGATAGGGACTGTAGGTTTGTTCTTAAGTTGAATCTGTATGTAAGTCGGAACTGGCATCCAGATTCAGCCGCTGCTGAAACTGATCAGTTTCAACAGCAGCTGAATCTGGACACCAGTTCCGACTTACATACAGATTCAACTTAAGAACCCCAGGCGTCCCCAAGTCAGCTGCTGCTGAAACTGATCAGCAGCTGATTCCAGGAAGCCCGGGGCAGAGCAACTTTGCCTCGGGCTTCCTGTAGTCAGCCGCTGGTCAGTTTCAGCAGCAGCTGAATCTGGACGCCAGTTCCGACTTGCATACAGATTCAACTTAAGAACAAACCTACAGTCCCTATCTTGTACGTAACCTGGGGACTGCCTGTA